TATGTGTGTGTGTGTGTGTGTGTGTGTGTACATGTTATTTAGTTTACACATATTTGTGAATCCTTCAAATTTCCTTCTACTTTTGTTTTATAATTTCATTTGTATTTTGTTGGACAGAATACTTTGTATGATTTTAATCTTCTTAAGTTTATTGAGGCTTATTTTATAGCCTAACTCCCCTGGCAAATGTTTGCTATGCATGAGAAGAATTTGTACTCTGCCTGTATATTTGCTACTATACAATGTTTCACGTCAAATACAAATCTTACCTTTCTTAACATGTAATACAAGTTCCACCTTGAATTGTTCATCTGTTGTTTATGTCTTGCTAGTAGCCATTCATCCTTTTTTGGTAATCATGTCCTGACTTTTTCCTTATAAGTCCACTGATTTTGTCTATCTCTACTATTAAGATATGATTCTGGTTTGGGTAGATTGGGCATTTTAAACCCTAGAATCACATGGACTGACTGGTTTTGGAATGGTATGTACCTTCAACCTGATCAATGAGATTTAATTCTTGGCATTTACTGATGCTACTGGGTAGGACTATGCCACCAGTGCTCCCACACCACTGGGTAGGAAGCATACTCTTTCTGCTCAGTTCGCTAAGCTGGTATGATAACAGTCGGTAGAATGTGGCTGTTTTGGTTCTCTAATGCTGCTCTAATGGAAAATACCACAAATATAAGGTCTTAACAATCAAAGACTTATTCTCTTACAGTTTAGGAGAATATAAATCCAAGTTCAAAGTGCCAGCTCTCAGGGCTGGGTGAATGGCCCTCGACCTTGGGCTTCAGCTCTGCCTCTTACTTCTGGCCCATGGAAGCTGGAGGCTTCTCTTAACTCAGACAGCTGCTGGCTGCTGAAGCTGACAAACCCAATGTCAACAAGGATAATGGCACAGTCCCAAAATTATCAAGCAACATGGCAGGCCACTAATTGAAGTCCATTAATAGTCCCAAGATAGGAAGACAACACGGCAGGCCACTGAGATGAAGACTCAGCAAAAGGCAGGATCCAGATGTGCCAAAATGCTCAAGAACTTTCTCAAATCTTCTTCTTATACACCTGAAGCAAACCACATCCCTAAGGCAGCTGTTCATGGTAGATTCCACCATGGAATTGATTACCAGTCTCATTTGGGGAATAACTACATCTAACTGCCCAACTACTCAAAACCAGGTCTAGCTAAGCTGATACACAACCTTAACTACCCCATTTGCCATCAACAGGAGAATAGCCAGCCAGAGAATGAAATCAACATATTTGGAAGCAATATGCCAAGAAACAGACTTCCAATGTCATTGATTAAGAATCTAAATATATAGCTAGATTACTGCCTGAGCTAGTTCCACATACTCATGGGTTTTTAATTACTTGAGGCAAAAAATACACTTTATGTTTGTTTAAGCCCATTTGAGCTATTTCCTAATATTCACTTCTATAAAGCTTTTTCAAATTGCTTGCCATTTTTTTAAGTAAAAATATTGAAGGTATTCTTATGTAAGTGACAATTTAGACTAGGTAACCATTATTTTCCATTCCCACTCTAAGCGTCAAGATTATTTTCAACCAGAGGTTACAACAGTCACATGGTTTTCAGATCTTTCATTTCTCTATCAATTTCTTATTTACACACTTTCTTCTGTTGTAAAATATTGATAATCTAAAGCCTAGAATCAGATGTACTGACTGGTTTTGTAATGGTATGTACCTTCAACCTGATCAATGAGATTCAATTCTTGGGATTTTACTATCTTATTATGATTTGATAATCATAATGTCAGTTGTGGGGCTGATTTAGGAAAAATCTAGAGAGAGATATTTCATATAAATAATCTAATCCAGTGCTCATTACAAAGTAAGTGGTTAATTTATGTCAAAAATTATCATTGCATTCAATTAAGACAGATCTGAGTTATAATAAAGTAATATATAGTGGTTATTTTAGAGCTTAAAATATTGCATATTATACTTTAGAGTATGTTATTCACAGTTTATATTTAACCTGGTTATATATTAATTTATAAAGAAGTAAATGAGAACTTCATAATCATTTTATATCAGTATCAAAAAAAAAATTGTGGTGTGATTTTGTTCATCTTGTTTCTCTGTTTAAGATCATTTTACTTTTCACTTCTATCACTCTACCATGTATCCAGTGAATGTTAATACAAATTTTTAATGAAAGTTTATACAAATACTCATCCTTTATAAATTACTAAAATGACAGGAGTAATTCAAACAGAAATAATAACCCCCCTTTGATATTTCCTACACAGAGGAACTATCTTCAAGTTACTTACAAACATTTCAAAATGATTGCACTTGACATATTTTATAATTTTGCAAATGTAGACATGTCCTAATGAACCTATTCTAAATACCAGAAAAATATCTCATGGTTTTGTTACTATATACCAATTTCCTCTATAATTTATAATCATTTCTCTAGATGATGAGCAATTTAATTTTAATTGTAAATTATATTGTGCATAAAAATCATTGAATTCTTCTGTGCTAAATTTAATTCTAGAAATATATTTTCATTATTTAAAAAAGTAATACTAAATATTTACCCTCTACTTATTCACTACCATTATCAGTTCATATTTAATTTGAGAGTGATATGTGAAATTCATTAACACAGTCACAGATTCTTTTAATGGGAAGAGGAGCCCTCAATGAGCCTTACCAGGTTCCCAACGGACAACACACTGCTGAACTGCTCCGTCATGGGATAGTGTTCCATAGCCATGAAGAGTGTATTTAAGACAATACAGATGGTAATGGCTAAGTCAACAAATGGGTCCATCACAACCAGGTTGACAATGTGCTTCACCTTTAACCATGGTTTACAGCAGTCCCAGATCAAACACATATTAGCAAATTTATACCAGCAGGGGGGGCATTTCTGTCTGGATTCTTCAAGTTCTGAAAGAAAAAGAAGTTAGAATACTCATGAAAACTGCTTACTTCCTATTAAGCAGCCTTCACTTTAAATTAAAAGAAAATTTTAAAATCTGAAGTTGTTAAGAGACATTATGGATTAATTTGATGGTGGAGTGATTAAAGCTAATGGGTTTGCTGTTATAGAAAGGAAGGGTCCAGAAAGGTTATTAAACTTTCCAAATTTAACTAGGCTAAATGTAGTTTCCAAGATTCAATCTGCAATATTGAACTACCTGATAATCATATTCAAGACTGTGAGAAGTTAATGGATAAGACTTGGATTAAGCACACTCAAAGCTCATCCATATTCTAAATAGAACAATAGGTGTACACACACATACACACACACATATATACACATACACTCTCTTGTGGCATAGTGCCTAAGGCATTTGACTGTTAACCGGAAGATTGGCAGTTCAAATCCACCAGCCACTCCTCAGAAGGAAGATTGCATAATCTACTTCCATAGCGATACCACCTTGGACACCCAAGGAGGGGTCACTATGAGTTGGAAACAACTTGATGGCAATGAGTTTGTTTGGTTTTATATATATATATATATATATATGTAAATGTTATTAAAGACCTCTTCTCTGAGAAGAGATGCTAAATATCTTCATCAGTCACATGAAATCTTATAGGATGAGATAGATATTTTGGGTCTATCAATTTAAATTTTTCTGGTCAGTGTCAGCATTCAGTCATAAAAGCACATTAAGGTCTCTGAGATACAAGTTGGCTATTAAATTCAACAAGACTCCTTCACTCTATATTTCTCAATTAACTACAGGTCACAAAAGAAGAAATGTGCAGTCTAAGGAAATATAGTTTCTACTGTTAGCACAGATCAACATTTTATAAAATAAGACTTATACACTTTTGATAAAACATGAGGATTTGAAGTACACACGTGGAATTCCTAAATTTTCATGGCATGGATGTACTTCTTTTAAAAGTAATATCTTGCTGTGTTTTAGGTAAAATTTCACACAGCGAATTAGGTTCCACTTTAATCATTTTTATACAAATTATTCTGTGCCATTAGTCACAATTTTTACAATGTGTAACCATTCTCACTATTTGCATTCTATTTGTCCTTTTTCTATTGATCTAGCCTGTCTTCTCCTTCTTGCCTTCTCATCTTTGCTTTTGGGTAAATGTTGACTCTTTGTTCTCATATTAGTTAATTGTTTAAGGGAGTACATTCCTCAAAGGTGATATGATTTATTTTATAAACCATTCTATTATTTGGCTGAAAGGTGACCTGCAGAAATAGCTTCAATTTCAAGTTCAAAGGATATCTTAGGGTGATAGGTTCAGCAGTTCCTCTAGGAGACTAAAGCCCAGTAAATCTGGCCTGTTTTAGGAATTTGAGTTTTGTTCTACACTTTTCTCCTATTCTATCTGGAACCTTCTATTGTGTCCCTGGTCAGAACTGTCAATGGAGGTAACTGGGCACCATTTATTTCTTTTGGCCTCAAGTTAGAAGAGGCTGTGGTTCATGTAGGCTATTAGTCCCATGGACAAGTTTCTTCTTTGAATCTCTGTTTTCCTTCATTGTCTTTTGCTCCATAGAAGTAGAGACCAATAGTTCTTTCTTAGATAGCTGCTTGCAAGCTTTTAAGACTCCAGATGCTACTCAACAGACTAGGGTATAGAACATTATCTTTGTGAACTATGTTATGCCAATTGACTAAGTTGTCCCCCAAGACTATGGTTCCAAGCCTTTTGACCCAGAAAACCAATCCCATAAGTTGTTTGACTATGTCTAGGAAATCTCTGTAACTTTGTTTCCTATGTTGCATTTACTTCAATGTATTGAAATATATAAATATCACACCAAAATTATGATATATATTCTCTTTTTAAATACATTTATTTTAAAAAAAGTACAAGGATTTAAAGAAAAATTTTAACTAAAAATAGGAATGAGGATATGGAAATGCAGAAATATTTAAAGTAATACCAAAAGTAGTGAAATTTGATAAATATTGGCAAAAACAGACATCCTGGTGGTGCAGTTGCTAAAGCACTTAGCTGCTAACTGAAAGGTTGATGGTTTGAACACCAGCCACTTCATAGGTTAAAGATGTGACATTGTGCTTCCCTAAAGACTTACAATCTTGGAACTTCTATGAGGCAGTTCACTGAAGTTCTGTGAGTTGAAGTCCAATCAATGGCAATGGGTTTGGTTATTTTGGTTATTGGCAAAGATGTTTTTGAATTTAGGAAAGGAAAAAATTATCTACCATCTTCCTTTAGCAAGATAATTTCTTAATCAACTTTGTGGGGAAAAGGATGCACAATTTTTTTTTGTCAATATTATTGCTATAGACTTTATTACTTGACCTAACAAACATAGGACAAAAACTTAGAAATAGAATAGAGGGAAGGACTCTTTTCCCCACACAAGGCATAATGAACTCCAGTCAGTCTTTCAGTATTACTATTGTGTCAACTCCCCCACTGCTTTGTCAGTTTGTCATGCATTGGCTTGTGGTGGCTTGCATCTTTGTTGTGAGGCTGGAAGCTATGCCACCAGTATTTCAAATACCAGCAGGGTCACCCATGATGGACAGGTTTCAGCGAAGCCTCCAGACTAGATAGACTGGGAAGAAAGACAGAGCCATCCACTTCTGAAATTACTGGTCCTTGGAAACCTTATGAATAGCAGTGAAATACTATCTGATTTATTATTGGAAAATGTATAAATAGCTGTGAAACATTGTCTGATATAGTGCCAGAAAATGACTAGGGAAGAACTGTCTCCTCACATTAGAGTTGACCTTAATTATGTGGATAGAGTAAAGCTTTCTGGACCTTTATTTGCTGATGTAGCACAACTCAAAATGGGAAGAAAAAGCTGCAAGCATCCATAATAATCAGAATGTGGAATGAACAAAGTATGAATGGGATAAAATTAGAAGTTGTCAAAAATGAAATGGAATATATTAACATCATATCTTAGGTATTAGTGAGCTGAAATGGACTGGTATTGGCCATTTTGAATCAATCATATGGTCTACTATGCCAGGAATGACAAATTGAAGAAAAATGGAATCACATTTATTGTCAAAAAGAACATTTCAAGATCTATCTTGAAGTACAATGTTCTCAGTGATAGGATAATAGCCATATGACTGCAAGGTAGACCAGTTAATACAACTATTATTCAAATTTATGCAACAACTACTAAAGCCAAAGATGAAGAAATTGAAGAATTTTACTAACTTCTGCAGTCTGAAATTGACAAAATATGCAATCAAGATGCACTGATGATTGGAATGTGAAAGTTGGGAACAAAGAAGCGTAAGTAGTTGGAAAATATGGCCTGGCTGATAGAAATGATGTTGGAGATTGCCTGATAGCATTTTGCAAGACCAAAGACTTATTTATTGCAAACACCACTTTCCAACAACATAAATGGCAGCTATGTACATGGACTTTGCCAGATGTAATATACAGAAGCCAAATCAACTACATCTGTGGAAAGAGGTTATGGAGCTCAATACCATCAGTTAAAACAAGGCCAGGAGCTGACTGTGAAACAGACCATCAATTGCTCATATGCAAGTTCAAGTTGAAGCTGCAGAAAATTGAAACAAATCCACAAGAGTCAAAATATGACCTTGATTATATCCTACTTGAATTTAGAGACCATCTGAATAGATTTGGTACATTGAACATCAATGACTGAAGACCAGATGAATTGTGGGATGACATCAAGAACATCATATGTGAAGAAAGTAAAGCATCATTAGAAAGAGAGAAAAGAAAGAAAAGACCAAAATGGATGCCAGAAGAGACTCTGAAAACTGCTCCTGAATGGAGAGTAGCTAAAATAAATGGAAGAAATGATGAAATAAAAGAGCTGAACAGAAGATTTCAAAGGGCTGGTGGAGAAGATAAAGTAAAGTATTACAAGGAAATGTGCAAAGATCTGGAATTAGAAACCAAAAGGGAGGAACATACTCAGCATTTCTCAAGCTGAAAGAATTGAAGAAAAAGTTCGAGCTTCGAATGGCAATATTGAAGGATTCTATGGGAAAAATAGAGAAAGATGCAAAAAGAACTAAAAGAAGATGAAAGTAATACACAAAGCCACTGTACCAAAAAGAATTGGTTGACATTCAACCATTTCAGAAGGTAGCCTATGATCAAGAACCAGTAGTGTTAAAGGAAGAAGTCCAAGCTGCACTGAAGAAACTAGTGAAAAACAAGGCTCTAGGATTTGACAGTATACTCATTGAGATGTTTCCACAAACAGATGCAGCACTAGAGACACTTACTTGTTTATGCCAAGAAATTTGTAAGACAGCTACCTGGTCAACCAACTGGGAGAAACACATATTTGTGCCCATCCCAAAGCAAGGTGATCCAACAGAATGTGGAAATTATCAAACAACACCAATATCACATGCAAGTAAAATATTGCTGCAGTATATTGATAGGCAACTTCCAGAAATTCAAACTGGATTCAGAGGAGGATGTGGAATGAGGGATACCATTGCTGATGTCCAATGAATCTTGGCTGAAAACAGAGAATACCACCAAGATGTTTACCTGTGTTTTATTGACTGTGTAAAGGCATTTGACTGTGTGGATCATAACAAATTATGGATAACACTGAGAAGAATAGGAATTCCAGAACACTTGTGCTCATAAGGAACCTGTATCTAGACCAAGAGGCTGTCATTCTAACAGAACAAGGGGATACTGCATGGTCTAAAATCTGGAAGAGTGTTTGTCAGGGTTGTATCATTTCAGCATACTTATTCAATCTGTATCCTGAGGAAATAATCCCAGAAGGTGGGCTATATGAAGAAGAATGTGGAATTAAGACTGGAAGAAGACTCATTAACAACTTGTGATATGCTGATGACACAACCTTGTTTGTTGAAAGTGAAGATGACTTGAAGTACTTACCGATGAAGATCAAAGACTATAGTCTTCAGTATGGATTACTCCTCAACATAAAG